TGAAAATTTCAACTCACTACGTGGCCACACGTACAATTATATTTCTTGGACAAAAATAACTCGTCCCAGATGACACTAGGGATACATTTATATATATTATATACTATATAGGTAGGTATATTGTATAGTAATGTAGTAATATAGTTGAGCCCAGAATATTTTCAGGTTTTTGAGTACTTATAGTACCTCTGCTTTCCACCATTTTTAAAATACTGCTGCCAGTTGGGTATTAATTATTGAACAATTGCAAAAAATTACGCAACCACTTGTTATGCATTATCTAGGTACAAAATACGATTGATTTCCGGTAAAATATGTCCCTAGACTAGGCGACTCCTATTAGATTATTACTTTGGAAGGTTGACCTGAAGAGACCTATAGTTGGAAAAATCAGCGATAGACGAGACCAAYATCCTTTCACAAAACTCGGTCGCCTATACATATATCATGTGCAGTTATGRYYTATGGATAATGGACGATATTCAGGTATAAATACGTATTACGTAAACTATAAAGTTACACTTTTTATGGATTTCCTATGAATGGTGTTATAATTTTATATTTTCATCAATAATAGTTAGAATGTAATGTCATTTTCATTTAACATATTTATAAATTAATCTACCATTAGTATTTAGTACCTACAACTATCAATAATAAATTGTAATAAAATRTATATGGGCTTAGATTAAGATGACTTTATTTACAATCTAGGAACTACATTAACCCTATACATCTCCATCGCTTCTGTGCAAATACAATATGATTTTATAATARGTACCTGGTACCTAAAATGTTTTTTTATACCTGCCCTGTCCTAACCTTTAAGAATGTTAAAAATACTTCAATTTTCAATTTTGAGAGCTTTTTTTGGTTGTAAATTGGCTGCTTTAGTGCTTTAGAACATCAAAAAGTCAAAAATGTCCAGGAATAGGAATACACTTCCCCCAAAAAAATTAGTCAAATAATTATTCTTTCTATAAGAATGGTTAGGAAATTTTTTTTATTCAAAATTAATAACTATAAGCGTTAAAATTTTTCTTCAAGTTTGCATTTTTTTGATGTGATATAATTTTAAAAATATCTTGGATCAAATAGGATATTTTTTAAATTCATGTAAGCATGTGGCGTTTGAATTYCTATCTACTTGAGAGTTTGGAATGACCAAAATTTCAGAAGAAACAAATACATTTATTAACARTGATATCACAATATTATATTCAATAAGTATTTTGTTTTAACAATAATAAATTAAAGRGGAAATATACCCAATAAAAATGTTGTGTAAATCACATAAACATATTTAGACGCAAAGGTAATTCAAATTCATTAACTTTTCTTTGTCACTTTGATGAATAAAATCATTTCTGAAAACAAAATGTTAGTGGCAATTAATTAAATTTTAATTTAATTAGTTATTACTTACTATTTAAAATAATTAAGTACATACTTATAAAAATTGCAACCATAGCAACAGCTAAAACCCATATCCAACACCTCCAAGTGCTTTTTCTTACAAACTCTGTTAATCTTTGTTCTTCTCTTTTTAAATTTTCAAAATTAGTATCCATACCTTTTGATGATTTTTCTAAAATCTTATGTAAAATAATTAAAGAAGATAAACATAAACTAAACATTTTGCCATAAATTATATATTATTACTTCAATGTCTTTTTTAATTATTTTTCCAGCAAGTTCGGAATGTTCTCGTAAACCTCGAGTAATTGCCATTAATTCTTCAGCAATAGATTCCTGTTTATTTTGATGATGTCGCAATAATTCATCCAAATTATCACTACTATCTACATCTGGTTGCCTAGATGATCTGAATTCATTTGTATCATCTAAACACAATTAAATTGTATACATAATTTATTGTTTACATAAAAATAATAAATGTATTTACTTCCAAGTAGTTCATCTCTCAATTGATTTATATATGTAACTTTATACTTTTGTTTAATATCTTTTGAACGGCTATCAGACACCTGTACAGGTTCTAACATTTCCAAAGCAACTAATTTCTTCTCTGGATTTTCCTATAATATAATTATATATAACCATACACTATTTATTTTATATTCTTAATATAGTTAAAATATAGAATGATGCATTACAATTTCTTTGGTGTTCAAAAATCCTTTAAGAAATTCCATTCGTTTTGTATACTGATTAATTGTATCTTTGTCTGGATCACTATATATAATAAAAAACATAATTTTAAAATGTTAAGTATRATATGAAGATGGTGAGTTAGAAAAACCTGAAAAATGAAATAACTTTTGTTCCAATAAATAATTTTTAATTTTTGTTTTATATAATATAATTTATTGTCTCTTGCACTACATGTGTTATACAACTTTTTTTTTAATACTGAAAATAAACAATTTTAAATATGAT